GACGTAATCGGTCTACAAATGCGGCCTCAGGAGGATGCAGCCCATGAATTTGGACACGACCAAAGTCAACATTTGGCTTGCTAGCGTTAATAAAGCTTTGAAACAAACTGCACTGGATTTATTTGGCTAATTTTTGTGGCCCATACGACTCTGCTTCCAGGTAAAATCACCCCCGAGCAGCTCGAGATTACCTTCGCCTCACCCCTGTGGCCGTGTGAAAGCCGAGCACAACAGCAGAAATGAAGCATGAAGCGATCGCAGCAGGTCTGGAACACGACCAGGATCACCGTCACACCGCCCCACACGGTGTCATCTCTCCTGTCAGAGGAGCGCTGACGGTCTGTTTCTGATTTTATGTTGACCTGCAGAATGTTTATTTGGTTCCTGCTTGATCAGAAATTCACCAGCATATCACACGCGCAACATATTTATAGAAACTGAGTGGAAAGGACTCTGGGTTTACCTCTTGTTTATTTCTACATGCGCTGTATCAGTAGTGAAAATACTGCAGCAAAATAAATCTCTGACTTAAGCAGGTTTCGCCCACTTCATCAGGTTTCTTGGAGCATCCGCCTATTTAAAAATGCACCACTCCCACTGTGAGGATGACCTGTTTTCTTCATACAATTCAAGTGCTGCAATAACTTTAGTTCCACTTTGGTTCTTAAAAGAGCTGCTGCTGACTGCTGCTCTGCCAGTGACTGAACCGCTGATGTAAAACTGCAAAACAAAATTCATGTCGAACCTGAGGAAGATTCTCATGTCGGGGCCGGCTGCTTTTATAATGAAACGTCAGCAGAAGCAAGATTTTTTTGTCCTTGTATACTCCTACCATAAAACCGAAGGTGAGCTTATCAAAAATTATACGCACAAAAATATATAATAGAAGGGATTATGTAACAAATTATCTAAATGATATAGAGAAATGTGTAACCGTTTCCAGGATAAGGAAAATCAAATTGTCGCTGGTGGCTTCAGGCACCAGCAGGCATTCTCCAAACAAGAGGCAAAAAATGTGACACTACCATGTGCACTGCATGGAGAAATCACAGTGTGGCCGCTGAAAGCTGCTGCAGCTTCGTCGCAGCAGTCACACTTATAATTATAACGCCACGCTGCTGCAGAAACAACCGGAGACTCCTTCCTCGATCGGAAAAGTGCAGACGCGGCTCAGAGCTCAGTTTGCAGCAGAAAAAAAAAAAGATTATATAAAAAGATTAAAACTCAAACACAGAGCAAAAAAGACGATGATAATATTTTGGGTGCTTCAAAGCGTGTGGTCTGAGAGCTCCTCGCATTTCCAGTCTTACCTTCTCCAGCTGTCATGGTGCAAAGCTGCTGAGCAGAACAGGAATGCAGATCCACAGCTGATCGCTCCACCGATCGCTCAGCTCTAACCGAAGTCTCTGCCACCTCTCGCTCTGTTTACCTCACAGTCCTGCCACAGAAATGGCTGCTTTGTTTTGCTCCCTCCCTCGCTCTTGTCGATTTATCCCTCCACAGTCTCTCACTCTGCTCCCTCCTCCCTTGTCTCCTTCCCTGAAAAAACAGCCTGTCTCTTTCCATCTGTCTGTAGTCAACCATCTAGAGAGTGAGCAATTGTATATTTTTGCACTTTTGAGATATTTTTGATCATTTTAGCTGATCTGTAACAGATAAAGGAAACACTAAAGGGATGGGATACACTAAGAGAGCTGTAAAAACACGATACCCGTGTAACATATAGCACTTTAGTTGCTGAAATAGCTCAGTTTTGTGAGAGGTAAAGCTACGTTTCGTAATTACCCTCTGCAACTATATCTATTGCCACCAGGGGGCAGCATTTTACCAGTGGTTGTATTGAGATGTTTTGGGATGTGTGCTGCCCTTAATTTAATTTCTGACATTTCTTTTAAGTCCTACTCCCTATTCCTTCCGACGCTTTGTCTTTTCCCCCGGATGCCGACCATAACGGTTAAATAAAAGGTGCACTGACTCACTGCTTCCTCTTGTGGTAAAAAGTGATAATACATAGTTGAGCTTTAGCTGACATCCCTCCAACACGATGCATCCTTTAGACATGAATTCAAAGCTGCTTTTTTCAATCTCTTGTCCTTCAGTTAATTTTGGAACAGTTTAAACTTCTGCCCTTTGCAAAAAAGAAACTGTTAGGTTAATCAAAATAAAATTAAAAACTATACTTAAAAAAAAAAAAAACCTGACTTACTTACTTACTTACGAAGACCCCATTTAACGAAAAATTCAAGTTACAAAGGCACTTAACGGCAATATTTCTGCTCGTGTTACGGCAAAATGCCCAGCTCTGATTGGCTGAGCCCAGAACGCCCACAATGCCTTCCGAATCATGTGACAACCCCCTTGGCTTTCGTACTTGCGCTTCGCTGTTCCACTTGAACGACGTATTGTTGTTGCAGTTAGCAATTAGCCTATAGCCTATCGTTCACTCAAAAGGCGCGATGGGTGTTTCGACTTACAAAAATTTTTGACTTAAGAAAGACCCTCGGGAACTAATTAATTTCGGAAGTCGGGGTTCCACTGTATTTTTTTTTTTTTAAATATATAGATGAATCATCTATACTCTCTCTCAGTTTGGTCACACTACCATCCTCAGGCATCCATGTATGTGTTCGTTGAAACTAAATGACTGTTAAATTTAGCCCCTGACAAATGTGCTCATTGCATAATAACATTAACTGAGCATTTTCAAACAATAAAAACTCTATGAAACATCAAACTCGCGCTTCAAACTACAGTTTAACGCAATTACAACTGAAGTCCAAGGAAAAAAAGTAAAACAAAATAAAAATAAAAAGGCCTATAATAACTCAACAACCCATTTCCTCGATGCTTAGAGCTTATTATAGTAACCATTGTCCTTGATGTAAATGTGTAAGAAAAACTGTATGTTTCTGTTCTGTGTACTGTTTGTTGTATATGTGTCTTCTAGCTGCTGTTACAACCAAATTTCCCCTTGTGGGATAATTAAAGGATTATTCTATTCTATTCTATTCTATTCTAGTCTATTCTTATTTTGCTGTCACGGCGCTCACTGCCCATCCACATTAACACCAGACATTCCCCTCTCTCTAAGACTGACAGATTTCAATTAAAACAAGTCACAGAGTCAATTTCAGTGGAGCTGTGAAAGAGACGAGTCGAGCCAAGCAGCTGATCGTGATGGATATAAAGGCTCAATATCTAATAAGCGCTGAAATGAGACATGTTTACATGCTCCTCTCAGTCCTCCAAGTTAACTTTCACACAGCAACATGAACACTGGCTAAAGTGTCCA